TCGCATCTGACAGGTTGCCATCCAGCTCGGTGGACTCATTGTCATCTTCCAGAAGATCATCCGAGACATTGATGGCCTCCGTGACGACGGAGATGTTGATGGGAACTGCGGTCTCGTTCCAGGCCTCAGCCGCGCACACTCAACACCCCCACCCCCCGGAACATGTACAATGTACAGGGAAATTGCATGCTGGCCTCCACTGTTGCACAATGTCACATTGTGTTGGCCAAAGGCGGACACACAAGGACCACACAAGACCGCACTGCACATCGCCCGAAGTAAGCAAGGCACATCACTGTCATTGGCAGACTCATTCCCAAAGATGAGCATGTCTTCCTCCAGTAATGCTGAATTAGACATTCGGTCTGGTTTCGTAAGTATTCATGGTCGGTCGAAGCTGCAGCAAGAGCCCCAATGACAGCACCACGCTTCAAGACTGGATTTGATACAATGCTGAGCAGCATGAACGATTTGGTGGCTCATGCATCCCTCACCGCAGAGTAGGCGTGGGCAACCATGCCAACAAACCTCGTCAATTGCAAGCCAAGTCACCGGTAGAATCCAGGAGTCGTTGCCTTGTATGTAGATGTCTGGGACATCGCATGAACAGAGATCTAGGCAACAACTCTCCGCACTCCTCCTGGAAAGGAGACGCGACCGACACCTTGCAATAAAAACGCGGAGGTGTTTCTGCAGCGAGATGAACATACCAGAAAGCGCCCTGCATCAACAAATCTCGTCTTGAAAAAGTCCAAGCCGCTGCTGTTCGACACCTTCGACAAGTTCCCTTCGGTCCTCGACTGCCGGATTCGCCATGCAAATTGTGCTCAGTCTTCCGAAACCATCCCTTCACAACAAGCTGAACGTCACAGCTCGGCTTCCCGGCTGGACCACCTCTGTGTCTCCGTGGTTAACGCTTGCTTCGCAGACTGACTGAGGCGAGCTTCGCATCTGACAGGTTGCCATCCAGCTCGGTGGACTCGTTGTCATCTTCCAGAAGATCTTCCGAGGCATTGATGGCCTCCGTGACAATGGAGATGTTGATGGGAAATTCGGTCTCGTTCCAGCCCTCAGCCGCGCTCATTCCACACATTGCCTCCTACCAACCAACAACGACATTGCATGCCTTCTCTACCGTTGCACAAGGTCACGTTCTGTTGATCAGTTGCAAACACTAGTCAGAAACCTCACCCCAACAGACCACACGGTGCATCGCCCAAAGTAAACAAGGGGCATCACTGGCATCACTGCGGCTGGCAGACTCGTTCCCCAAAATGGGCCCGTCTTCCTGCAGTTCTGATGCGTTTGGCTTTCGATCTGTTTCTCACCCATCCTTTTAGGGCCGGTGGAGGGGCATGCGAGTCATTGAAGCTAAGCCCTTCGAATGATGGCACTGCGCTTCAAGACTGGGTTTAACGAAATGCTCATTATCGTGTGGCGGAGCTGCACGATTTGGCGGCTCGTGCGTTCCACACCACAGTGGATAGGAGAGCGACTATGTCATGAATAAAACGCCGTCAACTGCAAACCAAGTCGCCGGTAGAATCCCGGCGTCATTGCCTGGAATGTAGATGTGTGAAAACATCGCATGATCAGGGATCTACGTGTGAACTCACCCCAATCCTCCCTGCAAGGAGACCGACATCTTCCAACAGAAACGCACAGGTGGTTCTGCAGCGAGATGAACATGCCAGAAAGCCCCCGGCATCAACAAATCTCGGGTTGAGCAGTCCCAAATGATCCAAGCCGCTGCTGTTCGACACCTCCGACGCGTTCACTTCGGTCCTCGACTGCCGGATTCGCCATGCAAGCTGTGCTCAATCTTCCGAAACCATCCCTTCACAACAAGCTGAACGTCACAGCCCGGCTTCCCGGCTGGACCACCTCTGTGCCTCCGTGGTTAACACTTGCTTCGGAGGCTGACTGAGGCGAGCTTCGCATCTGACAGGTTGCCATCCAGCTCGGTGGACTCGTTGTCATCTTCCAGAAGATCATCCGA